GCGATTGGCGCTCAAGCTCCCCATCCCCGTTGCCGGAGAGGCCCCGGTGTGGCATCAGTGATGGGCAAAACACTCAACGTTTGCCCAACGCGCGGCCATGCCGGCGCTGCGGGCAGGCAGCCACCGTTCCCCGGGCAGGCAGCCGAGTCAGCTTCGCACAGCCCAGCTCGGAAAACGGGGAAATAAAAGTTCCGAGCAGGTCCCGTGCCAGCCGACGCTCCCCGCTTGGTCAGGCCAAGGAGATTTTAACGACCCGGTTTGATGCCGCCTGCCCAGACGGAGCACGCTGCACGGCAGGAAGGTGAAACCACGAGTTTATGTCTCTGGCAACAACTCATTAACGTCCAGGGTGGCTCTGGGGTTAACGAAGCCGGGCTCCCTCCGTGGGACGCAGAGCACCCCGCGCCCCTTTTCCGACAGCCCCGTCGGAGCAGGCTGGATGCTCCCGTAACAGGCAGCCGAGAAGTCAATTTATGTTTCAGCGAGCAATTACCATTTGGTGCTAATTAAAGTGCAAGTTGATTAGTTGAGTAAAACCTTTCATTAGCCCCTTACATCATTTACAGAAATTACAGCTTATTTGCACCGTGTAAGTGCACGACACGGGGAAAGGAAGAGCGGAGCAAGCACAGTTCAAAAGAATTACGCTTTCATTACGGCCAACTTTATTAGAGAAAATAATCGTTACTTAAACATCCTCCGTCTGCGACACAAGTGCCTGAAAACCGAGCAAGAACCTCGCGCCCCGAATCATCTCCTTGGGGATCAGCAGCTTCGAAGGGTTTGGCTTAAAGCTGCAAGAGCGAGCCCACCAGGGGCCAAAGAGTTAATAAATAATTATCCAATTGCCAGTTAATCAAGATCTACAAAACCAGCAAATCCTTCAGGAAGCCCGTTTGGTAACGTGAGCTGCGCCTGTGCCACGCAAAGCTGCCTCTGAAAACACTAAACCTCCCGCGGCTCGGTTCGCGAGCTCGATGGCAAGTATTCCTCCCTTCCTCCCCTAAGCTCAGGAGAAATCGGGTTTTATTAAATAAAACCAACGTGGCTGTAATTAGGTTGCCGAGAAGCCATGAAAAGGTCCCTGGGATTTCTCCCTGAGCCAGGTGGGACTTTAGGGGATGCGTCTGTCCCTCTGAGTGCCGAGGACGCAGCCCCACAGCGAGCGATCATGACGGGGAGGCAAAGCTAGCCGCGGGGCCGGGACCTGCGGACACATCAGCCCCGCTCCTTCTTTTCCAGACACTCGTTTTGGTTGGGAAAAGGACAGGGAACCCGGCAGCGCGGTTGGGAAATCCCTCCGGAGTCGGGGAGAACGTGTGCGGTGCGGTAAAGGCTGCTCTTTTCCACGCCGGGACGCGAGCTCGGCGGCGTGTCGGTTCCCCGCGGCGCCAGGAAAACGACGTTCAGAGGGAACCACTTCTCCAGCAGTGCTAAATCGGCCACGTCTTACGTCAGCCCGTAACCATCAGCCGTGATGTAAAATTACGCTTCCTCCCCTCCCGCGCCCTCTGCCAAACGCCCACAAATTCCTAAATTATTCATCGGAAAAAGTCAAGCGTGGGGGATCCGAGTCATGTCGCAGTCGCGTTCCGCAAAAGTGCTCTGGGGCTGCCCCATCCCCAGCCTCGGCCCCGCCTGATCCCATCTCCTCCGGCACTGCTTGCCCCTCCTCGCTGCCCCGAGCGCACGCCGTCCCCGGGCTGGGGCTGCGCTGCTTTGCTCTGCTCAGCCCCCCGGCGAGGGGGACAGCAGTTGGCAAGACGTCAGTGACGAAATCTCCACCTTTTAAACGGAGACGGACGTGCAAGCCCACGGCTGGCAGAGCCCACGCGTCAATAAACGAGTCACCAACGTGGCAACAAAGCGCTCTGAATGGTTCGGAGCAAAACCCTGCGATTTTTTTTTTTTTTTATTTTTATAAAGACGTCTTCCTTATGGCAGATTTGATAAGTGCTGATAAAATAAACGTCACCTCCGCAAATGTAAATAAAGATAACCGGTATCTGGGAAATATCTGGGAAGTTGGAACGACATGAGAGGGGGAGCAGAGAAGTTTCCACTTGGTGGAGGCGAAACGTAACCTGAGCCGTCATTATCCCATCGGCATCTTCCCTGGAAACTTCTGCTGCTGTCACAACGCCCAAGCACGTTCCAATTAATTACCTTTATTTGGGAATTTCAGGGTGGTAACTCCTCAGCAGAGCCAGGAGGTTTCTGAGGGATCTTTCTGAGGGTGGTTATGAGCGGCTGGAAAACGACTCCGTGAGACGCCGGCCGCGGACTCGCGCAGCCTCACGTTACACCCCCACCACGTACCACGTTTCACAGTCCTGTTCCTACGTGGCATTTGTCCACAGTTCCCCGAAAACCTCCCTCAACCTGCGGTGGGGACAACCCATACATCTAACAGGTTTATTTCTTAACCAGAACTAAAGATACTTGCCTTAAAAGGCTGCCAGGATTAGTTAATGTTTGTACTGGCAGCCAGAAGCTAATTCTTTGGCCTCTATTCAAACTTCGGGGCTTTATTTAATTTTTTTTTTTTTTTTTTCCCCTCTACAGCTCTCCTAAGGTCACTTGTATCCTCCCCACCGCCGTGCTCCACAGCTGGGTATTGCCAATAAATCCAATTTGCAGTTTTTTAACGAGCCTACTGCACAGGGCGTCGTCAGTCTCTGCGGCCCTGCAGCCCACCCCGCCAACTGTTGCAAAACTCAGTAAATTACAGGGAAAGCCCAACTGAAAACTCATTCTGAAACTTTTCCCATTTTGTTGTCATCTCCTTTCGGCACACAAAGCACCACCGCCAACGGGAACGCACAGAAAACGAAGCGCAGGGCGCTCATCTCCAGCTGCAGATACCTTCAGAACACGCAGGCACAGGGAAAGAAGTTACACAAATTCGTAATTTCACAGCCCAAACCCTATACTTGCACCGGGCACACGCTGCCTCTACTCCTGCCCGTCGATTCGCTGCCCCCCGTAACAACTTACGCAGGCGCTGCTGGTACCAGCCCCAGCAGTTTTGGCCAGTGTGGCACCACTGCCCCATGTTTATGGTCATGGGAGCACCACAGAGGAGTTTGGAGACTGCGATTTCTCTTCTCACCCTCCTCCTGATGTGCCAAATCCCCTTTTCGAGGGGTTTGGCGTGAGACAGGGGAGTCACAGCAGCCTCGTGGGCTGCCACCTCCCGCATGACGGCGCCTGGCTGCCTCCGAACACCCGGCCCAAAGTCGCATGAGATACTGGAAAAAGCCACCCCAGGGCTCTGCAGCTCAACCGACCATTAACTCGCCTCGCTACCAAGGAGAGAAGCGCCCTGGGAACACTGACGGGTGCACAAAACCACACAGAACTGAGCATGCAGACGAAAGACAACAAAAAAACCCCAATTCTTGGATGTTTTTCCGTGCTTCCTGCAACCCGCTGCTGCTCGGCTGGACCTCGAGTGTGGGGGGCGAAGGCTGATCCCATTTCCACACCCCAGAGAGGCAAGGAGGGCTCTGACGGCTTTTCTACGAGAACCTAATCACGACGGCGATCGCGCTTCTCCCGATTCTCCTCCCTCCTGCCCTTGGGGAAGACCATCAGACACGCTCTGGCACGGACAGACCCTTCTCCAATCACAAAACACACACAAAATATGGATTTCTGAAGAGCCGACACACCGCGACGGGAGCCCCGGGAAGAACAGGGGTCTCCAGGCGAATTATTTTGTCTCCGTTTCCTACCTGCGAGGAAGGGAAGGCTCTATTCCGACTCAGCTAAGCATGCCGGGATCCTCCGGTGAAAGACGCTGCACGAGAACAAGAGATTTCTGTAAGGCTCCCTGACACGCGGCCCGGCCCAGCGCCTAAATGGCAATACCCCATAATTTTGACTATTTTTAGGCCGGGGTGCGTTCGCAGGAAGGCAGAGCCTTATCCCTACCCTTCCCTCGGCCTCCCCACCCGCTGCCAGCGCCCCTCCTGCCTCGCCTCGAATTCCAGGGCTCCTCTCCGCGCCCCAGCTCAACCCACCTGCCCTGCCTGCCTGCCCCCCGAGACCCCGGGCAGGCCCGAAACCCCCCTTCCCAGTTTCACCGCTTTCCCCGAGACCTCTCTCGCCCCTTCCGCTCACCTCCCCCAGGCCCAGCTTGCACCCCAGCTCCTCAGGAGCCCCCCCCCCAAACACACCCCCACGTTTTCTCACCCCCCCCCCCCTTCTCCCCAGGCACCCCCCCTTCAGCCTGCCAACCCCCTCACCCCCCCCACTCCACATCCCCCAGCCTCTACCCCCCCACCCCCCACCCCCACTGCCCTCAGTCCCTCACACCACCCACCCCAAGGGCCACCTCACACACCCAAGCCCCCCCCTTTTCCCCTCAGGCCCCCCGAAACCCCCATCCTCTCAGCCCCTTCCTTCCCCACAGCCACCGTCTCCCCTCAGGCCTCCCCCACCCCTCCTCTCCCTCAACCTCCCTGCCCCACCTTCCCCCCCTCCCCTCACCTCTCAGGCCCCCAAAGCCCCCTTCCCCCTGCGCGCCCCCGTGCTCGCTCCAGCCTCCTCTTCCCCTCGCCCGCCTCCGTCCCCGCTCACCCCTCACGACAGGCCCAGCGCCGCCGCCGCTCCCCCCCGGCCCGCTCCTCACTCGGCCGCCGCCATGTTGCGATCGAGCCGCATCCGGGCACCCGCCCTGCCCGCGTTCCCCCGGCAACAGACACCGCCCCCTCGGGGCGGGGCCCCGGGGCGGGGGGGCGTGGCAGAGGAGGTTGTGGGAAGGGTCTCAGGCTGGGATGGGCGGAGACTCGTGTGGGGGTGGGCGGAGCCTATAGCGGAAAGGGCGGGGTCTCGGGGGTGGGGGGCGGGACACCAGGCATGGGGGGCGGGGTCCACCGCCCCACGCAGCGTTTGACCCCGCCGCGCACCCGTAGGTGAGGTCTAAAGGGGGGCGTAGCCAATCGCAGAGAGAGGCGTCAGAGATTGGCGCCTCTGTTGCCCAATCAGCGGCGCGGCGCGCCGGGCGGCAGGAGGCGGTGTCTGTAGTGCCCTAAGATGGCCGCGCTGTGAAGCCGAGCGCGGTCGCTGCTGTGTCCCCCCCCCTTTCCCCCGCTCTCCGGTACAGCCGCTACCTGCGCGTTTCCCCGTCGGCCGCGGCGCTGCGGGTGCCGGAGGATGTCGCTCCGCGCTCTGCTGAGGGCCGCGGCCTCGCTGCGCGGCTGCGGTGAGTATCGCTCCCTGCTCCCCAGATCCCCGTTCGCCCGATCCCCCGCTCCCCAGATCCCCGTTCCCCCGATCCCCTTTCCCCCGATCCCCCCGCTCCCCAGATCCCCGTTCCCCAGATCCCCTTTCCCCCGATCCCCCCGCTCCCTAGATCCCCCAGATCCCCGCTCCCCAGATCCCCGTTCTCCCGATCCCCCAGATCCCCGCTCCCGAGATCCCCGTTCCCCGATCCCCCCGCTCCCAGATCCCGTTCCCCCAGATCCCCGTTCTCCCGATCCCCCCGATCCCCAGACCCCCGTTCCCCCAATCCCCCCGATCCCCACTCGCCCGATCCCCAGATCCCCGTTCCCCCTGCTCTCCAGATCCCCTTTCCCCCGATCCCCCAGATCCCCCGATCCCCAGATTCCCATTCGCCCGATCCCCCTGCTCCCCAGATCCCCGTTCCCCAGTTCCCCGTTCCCCCGATCCCCCTGCTCCCCAGATCCCCATTCGCCCGTTCCCCCTGCTCCCCAGATCCCCGTTCGCCCGATCCCCCCCGATCCCCCCGCTCCCCAGATCCCCGTTCCCCCGATCCCCCCGCTCCCGAGATCCCCGTTCCCCCGATCCCCCCGCTCCCCAGATCCCCGTTCCCCCGATCCCCCCGCTCCCGAGATCCCCGTTCCCCCGATCCCCCCGCTCCCCAGATCCCAGTTCCCCCGATCCCCCCGCTCCCCAGATCCCCGTTCCCCCGATCTCCCCGCTCCCCAGATCCCAGTTCCCCCGATCCCCCCGCTCCCCAGACCCCTGCTCCCCAGATCCCCGTTCTCCCGATCCCCCAGATCCCCGCTCCCCAGATCCCCGTTCCCCCGATCCCCCCGCTCCCAGATCCCCTTTCCCCCGATCCCCCCGCTCCCCACATCCGCGTTCTCCCGCTCCCCAGATCCCTGATCCCCAGATCCCCGTTCCCCTGATCCCCCCGCTCCCCAGATCCCCGCTTGCCCGATCCCCAGATCCCTGTTCCCCCTGCTCCCCAGATCCCCGTTCGCCCGATCCCCCCCGCTCCCCAGACCCCTGCTCCCCAGATCCCCGTTCTCCCGATCCCCCAGATCCCCGCTCCCCAGATCTCCGTTCCCCCGATCCCCCCGATCCCAGATCCCCTTTCCCCCGATCCCCACATCCGCGTTCTCCCGCTCCCCCCGCTCCCCAGATCCCTGATCCCCAGATCCCCGATCCCCCCGCTCCCCAGATCCCCGCTTGCCCGATCCCCAGATCCCCGATCCCCCCGCTCCCCAGATCCCCGTTCCCCCGATCCCCCCGCTCCCCAGATCCCCGTTCCCCCCGAACCCCCCCCCCACTCCCCAGATACCCGATCCCCCCGGCTCCCCTTGCTTCTACACCCACCCCCGCTCCCCTGATCCCCCGGTACCCCAATGCCCCCCCTCCCCTGATCCCCCGCTCCCCCCTCACTCCATCCTTCCCTCCGCAGCTACCGGCGCGCTCCCCGCCGCCAAGCCGCCCTTCTCCCCGCAGCCGGCCGGCGGCATGGCCACCCTCAACCAGATGCACCGTCAGGGCCGGCCCAAGCCTCCCCCCGCCAAACTGGGAGCCACCTTCGGCCGCCCCCAGCTCAAGGGGGTGGTGATCAAGAACCTGATCCGCAAGCCCAAGAAGCCCAACTCGGCCAACCGCAAGTGCGCGCGGGTGCGGCTGAGCAACGGGAAGGAGGTGGTGTGCTTCATCCCCGGCGAGGGCCACAACCTGCAGGAGCACCACGTCGTGCTGGTGCAGGGCGGCCGCACCCAGGACCTCCCCGGGGTGAAGCTCAGGATCGTGCGGGGGAAATACGACTGCGCCCACGTCCAGAAGAAGAAATGAGATTTGGGGCGGGGGGGGGGCACGCACACACGGACAGGACACACACCGGGCCCCTCTGCCCCCGGGGATGTGCTGTGCTGCACCCATTAAAGGCGGTGGCGGCGGGGGGAATGCGCTGTGGAGTGGTGTTAGGGGGAGCTGAGGGCACGGGGAAGGGGGCTGGGGAGGGGGGGAGTTGGGGGGGTCTTGGGGCCTGGGGTTGGGAAGGGGGGGAGAGTTGGGGGGGTCTTGAGGCCTGGGGTTCGGAGGGGGACTTGGGGGCACTGGGAGGGAGTTAGGGAGCCTGAAAGCACTGGGAAGGCATCTGGGGGGAACAAGGGGCGGCAGTTGGGGGGACTGGGAGGGGGTCAGGGGAGGGGGTTGGGGGGGGGGGATCTGTGGGTGCCAGGAGGGGGAGTTGAGAGGACTGGGAGTGGGTAGGGCGGCCTGAGAGCACTGGGTAGGGGTTGGGGGGGGATCTGAGGGTGCTGGGAAGGGGCTTTGGGGCACCGGGGGGGGTGTTGGAGGTACTGGGGGGGAGTTGGGGAGCCTGAGAGCACTGGGAAGGGCTGGGGGGGGGATCTGGGGGCACTGGGAAGGGATTTGGGAACCTGAGAGCACTGGGTAGTGATCAGGGGGGGGATCTGGGGACACTGGGTGGGGCAGTTGGGGGAACTGGGAGGGGATTGGGGAGCCTGAGAGCACTGGGAAGGGGCTGGGGGGGGATCTGGGGGCACCGGGTGGGGGAGTTGGGGAACTGGGAGGGGATTGGGGAGCCTGAGAGCGCTGGGAAGGGGTTGGGGGGGATCTGGGGGCACCGGGTGGGGGAGTTGGGGGAACTGGGAGGGGATTGGGGAGCCTGGGAGCGCTGGGAAGGGGTTGGGGGGGGATCTGGGGGCACCGGGTGGGGGAGTTGGGGGAACTGGGAGGGGATTGGGGAGCCTGAGAGCGCTGGGAAGGGGCTGGGGGGGGGATCTGGGGGCACCGGGTGGGGGAGTTGGGGGAACTGGGAGGGGATTGGGGAGCCTGAGAGCGCTGGGAAGGGGCTGGGGGGGGGATCTGGGGGCACCGGGTGGGGGAGTTGGGGGAACTGGGAGGGGATTGGGGAGCCTGAGAGCGCTGGGAAGGGGCTGGGGGGGGATCTGGGGGCACCGGGTGGGGGAGTTGGGGGAACTGGGAGGGGATTGGGGAGCCTGAGAGCGCTGGGAAGGGGCTGGGGGGGGGATCTGGGGGCACCGGGTGGGGGAGTTGGGGGAACTGGGAGGGGATTGGGGAGCCTGAGAGCGCTGGGAAGGTGTTGGGGGGGGATCTGGGGGCACCGGGTGGGGGAGTTGGGGGAACTGGGAGGGGATTGGGGAGCCTGAGAGCGCTGGGAAGGGGCTGGGGGGGGGATCTGGGGGCACCGGGTGGGGGAGTTGGGGGAACTGGGAGGGGATTGGGGAGCCTGAGAGCGCTGGGAAGGGGCTGGGGGGGGGATCTGGGGGCACCGGGTGGGGAGTTGGGGGAACTGGGAGGGGATTGGGGAGCCTGAGAGCGCTGGGAAGGGGCTGGGGGGGGATCTGGGGGCACCGGGTGGGGGAGTTGGGGGAACTGGGACGGGATTGGGGAGCCTGAGAGCGCTGGGAAGGGGCTGGGGGGGGGATCTGGGGGCACCGGGTGGGGGAGTTGGGGGAACTGGGAGGGGATTGGGGAGCCTGAGAGCGCTGGGAAGGGGCTGGGGGGGGATCTGGGGGCACCGGGTGGGGGAGTTGGGGGAACTGGGAGGGGATTGGGGAGCCTGAGAGCGCTGGGAAGGGGCTGGGGGGGGATCTGGGGGCACCGGGTGGGGGAGTTGGGGGAACTGGGAGGGGATTGGGGAGCCTGAGAGCGCTGGGAAGATGTCTGGGAGGAACTGGGGGCACAGGGAGGGGGAATTGGGATTATTGGGAAAGGATTGTGGGGCCTGAAAGCACTGGGAAGGCATCGGGGGGGGGAACTGGGGGGAGGAGTTGGGAGTACGGGGGGGGGGGGGGGGATGTGGGGGCACTGGGCGGTGCGTAGGCGGGGGGGCGTGTCCGGGATCTGGCCCCGCCTCTTCCGCCGCGTGACACCCGGCGGGTCCGCGCCGCCCGGCGGCGTCCAACATGGCGGCGCCCAGGGCACTGGCGGCGGCGCGGCGGGCGGCGGCGAGGGGCTGGCGGGGGGCGGGCGGCGGGAGCGGCACCGGGACCGGCACCGGGAGCGGCACCGGGGCGGGGCGGAGCCGCCTGTACGAGCACGTGCGCGAGGGCCTGAGCGCGCGGCCGCAGCTGGACGTGGAGGCGCTGAGCGAGCGGGAGCTGGAGCGGCGGCGGGGGGCGCTGCGGGGGGCGGACCTGCGCGAGATCGTGAGCGGGGCGGGGGCTGCCGGGAGGGGGCGGGTCCGCCCGGGGGAGAGGCGTGGCCTCGCAGGGGGCTGGGTCCGTGCGGGAAGGGGCGGGGGCTGCCTGGGAGCGTGGGCGGGGCCTCGCGGTGGGAGGGGTTTGCGGAGTCTGTGGGGGAAGGGGAGGAGCCGGCAGGAAGGGGGCGTGGCCTAGGGGTTGGGGGAGGAGCCTGGGGAAAGGGGGCGGGTCTGCCCGGGGAAGGGGTGGGGCCACAGGAGGCGGGGTCTAGCTGGGAGTGTGGGCGGGGCCTTGCGCTGGGTGGGGGTTGTGGTGGGCGGGGTCTGCGTGGGAAGGGGGTTCGGGGGTGGGGCTTGGGGGGGAGGAGCCTGGGGAAAGGGGGCGGGTCTGCCCGGGGAAGGGGTGGGGCCACAGGAGGCGGGGTCTAGCTGGGAGTGTGGGCGGGGGCCTTGCGCTGGGTGGGGGTTGTGGTGGGCGGGGTCTGCGTGGGAAGGGGGTTCGGGGGTGGGGCTTGGGGGGGAGGAGCCTGGGGAAAGGGGGCGGGTCTGCCCGGGGAAGGGGTGGGGCCACAGGAGGCGGGATCTAGCTGGGAGTGTGGGCGGGGCCTTGCGCTGGGTGGGGGTTGTGGTGGGCGGGGTCTGCGTGGGAAGGGGGTTCGGGGGTGGGGCTTGGGGGGGAGGAGCCTGGGGAAAGGGGGCGGGTCTGCCCGGGGAAGGGGTGGGGCCACAGGAGGCGGGGTCTAGCTGGGAGTGTGGGCGGGGCCTCGCGGTGGGAGGGGTTTGCGGAGTCTGTGGGGGTAGGGGAGGAGCCGGCAGGAAGGGGGCGTGGCCTAGGGGGTGGGGGAGGAGCCTGGGGAAAGGGGGCGGATCTGCCCGGGGAAGGGGTGGGGCCACAGGAGGCGGGTCTAGCTGGGAGTGGGGCGGGGCCTTGCGCTGGGCGGGTTGTGGTGGGCGGGGTCTGCGTGGGAAGGGGGTTCGGGGTGGGGCTTGGGGGGGGAGGAGCCTGCGGGAAGGGCGGGTCTGCCGCGGGGCGTGGGCTGGGTCCGCGGGAAGGGGCGGGGTCCGCGTGTGCGGTGGGGTTTAAAGGGGCGTGGCCCAGCCCAGACAGGCGGGCTTGTGCACGGGAGGGGGCGGAGCCTCCTCCAGCGCCGCCCACCCCCCCAGGTGCAGACCGGGTCCCGCCTGCGGAGGTGCGGGCCACCATCGCCCGGCTGGAGGCCGAGAAGGGCAAGTGGCCCGGGGCGTGCGGGCCCTGGTGGTGAGACCCCCGGCACCCCCCCCCCCGCACCCCCCTGCACCCCCCCACCCACGTCCCCACCCGCTCTCCTCCCACCCACAGCAGCCCACGACAAGGAGGCAGCGGAGGCGGTACGAACCCTTTGGGGGGGCTTGG